CTCTACTCAATAAATAAATGAAACCATAAATACAAGGAGCAATTTGATTGCATGTGTGCCGGCGATGGTTTCAATCCCATTTTTTGCCGATCGACATTTTGGTTGCGGCAGAGAAACCAACCGGCTGTTCATCATCAATTCATATTGAATTGCCAATCGGGACTCGAAAAAAAAAAAAAAAGGACGAGAGGTTGAGCCGCCGGGGTTGACCCACCTGCGTCGGCACCGCGTCCGGCGACGGCACCTGCAGGCCGGTGGGCGCGGGCGACTGCCTCTGCGGGACAGGCGGCAGCGAGGCGGAGGCGGCCTGCACCACCTTCAAAGCCTGCTGGGGGATCTGGACCGCGGGAGGCTCCTGCTTGGAGGACACCAGCTGCACCTGCTGAACGACCGCCGGCTGGCCGGGACTCTGCACGATCAGCAGGTTGTTCCCCGCCTGCGGACGCAAAACCCAAACGCAAGGTCAGCCCGGCAGTCCGTGAACGACGTGGCCGCAAAAGGCCGAGATTCTTCCAAATCTTTTGTGAGTCGTCGTCGATGCCACTTTTGATGCGCAAGCGCCAGCCCTCGCAAACAGATCATTTCAACGAAAGACCGACATATCCTAAAGACAGGGTTCCCACTCTTCCACTTGCGTTTTATTTAAGGACCTTTTAAGGACTTTTGAGGACCCGTTTAGCAATTTTTAAAGGCTTTTTTTTTCTCCATTCAGCAGGGGATTCAAGGTGGATTTAATGCGCGCTCAGCAATATGCGGGCTGAACAGAAAGCCACATCTCACTTGAACTGGTGTTCAAATCATTGCTGCGAAAGGAAGGGCACATCTTTATTTTTAGGGGCAATCAGCTAACATTTATTTGACATACCGTAAAACTTGAATTCATTCTCAAATAAAGTACACTAAGAAAAAAATTAAATGTAGAAAATATAAAACGTCCATTTATTTTTGAATAAAAATAATTTTTAAGGACTTTTATTGATTTTAGAAGCTTGCCCTGAAAATTAAGAACATCATTTTACAACTTCTTTTTTTAATGGATTTTTATGAACTTTAAGGACCCGTGGGAACCCTGAAAGAGCATTTTTTTTTTCATTAGCATCGAATGAATGGCAGTTTTTAATACTTCTCATTTCTAGTTCCCGATTCTAAAACGGCGACAAGGAGGAGGCTGGCGCCGGTATCGGCCGCCGCTGCGAGTACCCGACGCCTTGAAGTAAGGCTGGTATCGGCAACGACGCCGATAGTGGTACGAACTCATTCAGTAGCAGCCAATTCCAGACCAAGTCTGAAAAGACGTTTCAAAACGTCTTTGGGAGTGAATGAGTCGAATTAGTACGTGCAATGGTTTCCCAACCTGAATGATGTTGTCCGCAGTTTCGATCAAAATGGTCTCCATTTGCTCCGGGGGTGGCGAAGGAGCCTGAGGGGGGGGCGGCGGCGGCGGCGGCGGCGCTTGCGCGTCAGGCGTCGCTTTCTTCTTCCTGCCTCGTCGTGACTTGCCCACGACGGCGTGCGCCGCCGCCTCGGTTACGATCTGAGCCCCGCCCACCTCCCCCGTCGCCACATTGAGCGGCAGCGTGAGCCCGCCGGGCAGCTGTACCGCGTTGGCGGCGGCGCTCAACTTTCTCGTTTTGGGCGAAGGTTTAATGGCGACCGTCTTTTGCGGAGGGAAGGGGGCGGCGACGGGGGCGGCGGCCGCCTGGGCCGGCGCGGCCACGGGGGTGGTGATGAAGGCCTGGTTGGTGCCCGGGATGAGCTGGATCTGGCCCCCCTGCGGCATGACCTGGATGGTCTGGGCGCCCGGGATCTGCGGCATGACCTGGTACTGGATGTTGGCGGGGCTCTGGGGGCCGGGGCGTCCGGGGCTCTGCTGGATGGTGAGCACGATGGGGCTGCCGGGCGCGCCGGGGCCCAGGCCGGCCGGCAGCTGGATCACGTTGCCCTTGGCTTGGAGGAAGCCCAGGTTCTTGGGGGGCGCCGGCGCGATGGGGGCCGGCTTGATGGGGAGGAGGCGGCGAGGCTGCGGCTGGGTCGGCGGCGAGGCGGCGGGGGCCTGGGCGGCGGGGGGTCCGATCTTACTGCAGGTGGCGGCCAGCAGGGCCAGAGGGGACGGCTGACCCTCCGCCTGTACGCGGAGACGGGACGGATTTTCAGAGGTCGAGATGCAAACTCGGGAGTACGTTGTCTCGCTCTCTCTCTCTCTGCACCTCTCCGGTCACGGTTGCCTCACCTGTGCGGTGGCGCTGGAGGGCTGGAGATATTCACTGGGACTGACAGCGACAACGGTGGCCATATTGTCCTTTAAATCTACGACACACACGACACATGTCATCAACGAAGCAACCGAGTGTCACGCTCGATCTCGCGCACGACACCTTTGTGGAGCCACTCGAAAAGCGTGCCGGCAGAATCACCTTTCGAGTGCGTGGAAAACTATTACTTGACGCGTTGGACTTGACTGAGCGGAAGGGCGTTGCCGCTTAGCGACACCAAAACGCAACCTCGAGATGGCGCGAAAAAGAATTCCGCCCTAAATATCAGCCATTCTGATTGGCTGGGGGAACTGTATGTTTTTTTTTTTTTTTTTTTTTTGTGCTTCTGTCTTCACACTGAGAGTCGTTTGCAATATTCCGATCCCGGGGATCGCCTGACACAATGAAATACTGTCTTGCATTGCTTTGCGAATGATGCGGAAGGTGTACCTAATGTTGTGGCCTGTGAGTGCTCACTTTTAAGACAGAAGTACTGGGGGTCAAAAACCGGTGCACGCAGAGGCAAGAGCGGTAACGGATGCAATGAGTCGATGGGATCATTTATCTGCAGAGGTCAAAGGGCGACGTATGGATATTGTGCAACTCACATGTTTTGCAATGACGCCGTTTTTGTCAGAATCGGAATCGTTTTTTTTTTTTTTGTTGATGTCTTGAGCATTCTCCAAGAAGCGTATTTTTAGGGTGCCGCCGCCGCCACCATTTGCTCGGTCAGTGGGTTTCTAGCAAGAATAAAATGACGCGATTTCCCCATGCAAGTTTACAAAGTCTTGTTTTGAACGCCGGTGCAGTGGGGCTGTCGGGAAATGAATGGGCCTTTCCCCTTGCAGCATTGACACCACTTCACCTATTATCCTTTTTAACTTGTAAAATTTCCACCATCGTCCGGCTGGATTGTCCGGGTTTGTTTGTGCTAACGCCGTTAGCACACTGTCCTCACACACACACACACGCGAGCCCAAATACTGTAGAAGCCGCAGCAGGTCCGGTAGCTAACAGCTAATCTAAACTGATTTAATTCGCATGAAGTTTCGCTTTAACGGCCACAACAAGCCCCAATACACGAGAGGTAATGCTTTGTTGGGGAGAGGAAAAGGGAGAGACATTGGTGGCGTTACGTTTGGGGGAAGAGACAAGTTTGGCTTATTTCATCTGAACACGTTAGCATAGCCAAGCTAGCTCGGAGCCGCCTAGCATCCGCGTAGTTAGCGAGTTAAACTCTTCGATGGTCAAAAGAGAAAAAGGGAAAGCCAATTCAGGAAGTGAAGGCGGCTTCGGGCTTGACGCGAGCCGCCGCAGCCCGCTTTTAATATCCGTCCACTGGCCGCCGAATGGTGGCGCGCCACGCAAATGTCATGTTTTACCAAGTAGAAGGTAATATAAACGCCAATGTTTGAATTCCTACCCACCGCTCATGACGACATTCGCTGTCCGTACAGCCTCGAAACGCAGCAAGCCCCGGAGGGAGGAATCCGCCCGCTTCCCCCCCCCTGCGCCAATCCGCGCTCAGAGTGGACTCGATTGGCGGCAAAAGCGGCCAATCGCATTTAAACATTGCCATGATTGAGAGTCGCTGCGTCCAATCGAAGAGGAATTTTTTTTTGGGGGACGTCCATCGATCGAAGTGGTCTACCAATGGCGCCAAGAGAAATTGGGTTCAATGGACGTTTTTTTCCGCGTGAATGTACCACCTATTAGAGCAGGAGTCAAGTTTGAATGACGCGACAAACGTCCAATGGGAGATGTGGGGGGCGGAAGGGGGTTTAACGGTACGAACAATGTGACAATTAAATCTGAAATACTGTATTATGAAACACGAGCGTGCGTGTGTGTCTGGAGGGGGGGGGGGGGCAATATTTATAGAGTTCCAAATATAGCGAGCATTTATAGGACTTAAAAAGAAGACCGCAGACTCACACAGGGAGGGCTCCGCACGTGTTCATTTGTTTTGGGAGTGAAAAAATATCGCGTTGGAACTTGATAAACGAGTACATAAAAAAAAAAAAAACTTATGACGTCAAATGTAATTTCATATTACATCTATCACGTTGAAACGTGAAATTCATCACATTATAACTTGATACTGAACTTAACGCATGAGATTTATCCCGTCACAGCGTGAACTCGAACTTTAAAATTTGAAATGTATCGAGTCGGAATCCGGATACTGAACTTTTTAAAAATGTTTTCTTGAGGTGTGTGTCTGCGATGCACTTCCTTTACCTCATCGATACAAAAAGGCGGGATTTTTTTTTCTGATAGTGAAAAAAAAAATATTATTTTTTTTTGTTGAGGTGAGGTAAAAGCGGAATGAAAAGAAAAGTGGGCGACACAAGTTTGCCTTTTTTGATTTTTGCTTTTATGCTGATTTACAAAAAGAGCGTCCATCTTGTGAGAAACACAATGAGCATCCATCAACACATCTTCATACATTTGGATGAGTCGGGGCAGACTAGCTAGCACACGCACGTGGCACGACGGGAATCCAACAATGACATCAGGCAGAGGTCAAAATCTGCAAAACAACCTTAGCAGTGAGCCCCGTCCATGTTGTTAGTCTGATTTTCGTACTGATGAGCATGAAAACGCTTATTTCCACTCGCATGATCTCCTCGGTGAAAGCTCGAGTCCCCTTTTCCTATTTGGAGAATCCGTCGCTGGTAACCATCACATCCCAGAATGCGGCTGCAACGCGTTGTGCTGCGTTGCGTGTCTCTTCCAAATGAACGAAGTCATTCCAAAATCGGACCATTTTTTTTTTGTTGTTGTTGCTGGTGTTGTTGACATTTGTGTTCACGCACCAAAGTCTTTGATTCACAAACACGGCATGAACCCAAAATGCGTGTGTGCGCGCGCGTGTGTGTCTGCCCCGAGAGCATCCCGAAGCCACCGTCGTCTCACTGGACAGAAAGAGAGAAAGAGAAGGCCGGAGAGAAAAGGGAGGAGTGCTCCAAACAAAGCAAAAAAAGCACTTTGGGCGTGTCCGTCTGCCGTTTGGGTCCGCAAGCGGAACTTCCGGGGAAGAAGGACGCCGGCCGGCAAAAAACGTCTCCCCAGACGCCGTCCGAGGTGAGAAGAACGAGAACGGAGAGAAGCCGCGACGCTCGTTGCGCTGGCTCGGGTCTCCACGCTGGCGCCCTGAATTAGAAGCGGCGCCAGAAAAAGTCACAAAAGAAACTCGGGTTACTTTTTTTCAAGTTGAAGGGTACAGGATGTGATTTTGGGTTTTTTTTTTTGCCCTCAAATAAAATACAGCTGAAGAAAAAAAAAAAAAAAAGTTGAATGTCACACAATGTCAGGCATTTGGAGGTGAAAACAAAAAGCTGCAAAAAAACGTCTTTGGGAGTGAAGGAGTTAAATATGAGTAACACCTAAAAGTTAGAAGACGTCAAATTTTTTTTAATTTAAAAAAAAATAAATAAATGGTGATAAATTCTTTGATAAAATTTTTTTTTATCCAAACTAAATTTTAAAAGGTCACATTTCTTTTATTCTAGGAAATGGAAACGCTGTAAAAAAAAAAAATTCCAAGTTTCATGTCACGGGATGGTTTCTCATTATTTAAAAACAAAAAAACAAACTTTTGCCATGTCACAATCACGAATGAGTGCTTTGACGTTGCGTACGTGTTGCTGTCGTTCATCGTCGGCGTCGTCGTTTGTGCTACGTGTGCGCCCGGAGCGCCGCCCGGATGCTTCTGACGGACGGGTACATCTCCTCCTCGGGGTCGTAGTAATAAAACTTACTTAGGTAGGACAGCAGCGACCTGCGCTCACACACAAACCACAAGACACATAAAAAGCCTCGCTGAAACCTGAACAGGAAAACCCGACTGCGGTTTGCGGTGAGCCCACCTGGGCAGTGGAAGTTGTTGGATGTGATCGATGCGCACGATTTGGCGTATGCAGAATCTGCAGAGGTGCTGCAGGGACTTGACGTTGCTGAAGCGAGACACGGGATACAAAAGCTGCACCGGCGTCGGTGGAAGGCCTGCGCCCGAGAAAGAGAGACCCCCAAAATAGCAGCAAACAACAATGCAAACGGGCTTTTGGATGGCAAAAGAACAAGTTGCAGTACGTTACCTAGTCGTAGTCGTATTTAGTAGTGTGCGCGCACATCACATCATTGGTTCTAGTGCTAAATTGAAATCATCTCTTGTCGTCTTTTGGCGACTCTCTCTAGAGTCGATTTAGAAAAAAAAATAAATACGTCTTTGTCTTTGAACTGTATTTTTTTTTATCCTTGACAAAAATTCAGGTCAATGTCCAGACATGGCGACAAATTTTGCGCATCTTTGTGTGCAATACTCCCTCTCGATTTGGAAGACATTTTTTTTTTTTTTGTTTTTGGAGGAAAAATAAACGTGTGACCACTCGCGATTTCGGCAACGGCACATACGCATGGTCACACCACACCAAAAAAAAAAATTTCCCCCTCTGGGTTTGTTAACATAAATAAATAATTTTCAAAAATGCATTTCAGTGGCCGTCTATTCCACGTGTGTTCCCAGAAAGTGAAAGTTAGCGTACCTGGGACTCTGGATCGCAGGAAGTAGAGGAACTTCCCATTTTTGGAGTGCATGATGGCGCGCTCGATGAACTCCACCACCGAGTGGCAGCGGTCCTCAAACTTGGGGTGACACCACAAGCTGAACGTGCCTAGAAAAAAAACGCAAGTGCTGGCTTAGCTAGTTAGCTAGTTAGCAGTTCAAGTCACAACTTCATCATCGAACGTCACATCGGAAGTCCACGTTAGCACAACGTCGTTATTATAATTTCGCGTGAGCACTTTTGAGTAGAAAGTCGAGAACTTGACGTTCACTTCATGTTCGCTCTTTGTGACCCCCCCCCCCTTTAGGATGTCGCCACGTCACAAACGTCACCTTCCCGCTTGATATTAAAACTCCGAGTCCATGTTAGCAAATCCCATTTGAACATGTCGTTTCAAAGAACAATACGTTGAAATGTTAAAAGGAAATAAGTTTGAACTCACTGCTAGCCTGTTACGTTACAAGTTCGATCATCACATTCCAACTTCAAGCGAGCGCGTTGTTCAAAACTTCACGTTGGCACTTGATGTTAGAACGCCACGTTGCAATGGCGTGTTAGAACTCGTGCTGTCAAACGATGGAAAATATTTAATCGCGATCAAATGTACAATTTCATAGTTAACTCGGATTAGCCGTAGTTAATCGCAGATTTTTATCTCTTCTAAATTTCCTTTGATTTCTTTTTCTCCAATTTTTTCCCATTTTAGTGCTCTCATCAACATGGAATCGTGGATCCATTTTCTTTGTGTAAAAAATGCAAAATATTGACTGAAACAACATTGACTTTCAATTTGACATGAATGAACATTTTTCACTTGGAGCAGTTATTCAAACGTGGCGCACATTTGATTATTTTAGAGCGACGTAACTTCCGCCGCGACGTGGTGCCGCATTAATCTCGCGATTAAAAAAAACGAACCGAGTTAAAATTGTCTGAAATTAATGCCGATAATTACGAATTAAACTGTTACTGTTGTAGTTAACTCGGATTAGCCGTAGTTAATCGCAGATTTTTATCTCTTCTAAATTTCCTCTGATTTCTTTTTCTCCAATTTTTTACCATTTTAGTGCTCTCATCAACCTGGAATCGTGGATCCGTTTTCTTTGTGTAAAAAAATGCAAATATTGACTGAAACGACATTTTTGACTTTCAATTTGACATGAATGAACATTTTTCACTTGGAGCAGTTATTCAAACGTGGCGCGCATTTGATTATTTTAGAGCGACGTAACTTCCGCCGC